ACTCCTGACATACATGCAGCCAAGAATCATTTTTCTTTCGGTTTCTTTTCTGCTAAACACGGAAAAATGATTCTTGGCTGCATGTATGTCAGGAGTGTTCTTCAGCGCACAGAATATAGACAAAAGGGAAAGAAAAAAAACAGCCTGCGTCCTTTATGTACCGTCCTTTTCTATTCTGGCGCAACCGATCAAAAAAGAGATTGTAAACATAAAATGTAACGTTTTCGACCAAAGTTTTATCATTTACATTTGTTGCTACAGGCCTATTGTATCTGATGCATGTGAGAAACAACATGAAAAACAATGACCGAAAACAAAGCAGCCTGACCGTAGACATCTAGCAAATATTATTTCTAAAAGGAAATATATTATTATATTATATTATTATTAATATATTATATTATAAATATTATTACCTTAGAGCAGTGGCGGATCCAGCCCGCGAGCGGTACGAGCGGCCGCTCGTACCTTTTAACCAACAAACTGTGTTTTTTCCAGCAGAACTCTCTTAGAATAATTTGTTTCTATGACGACCGCACGTATCGCGCACTTTTATCGTATACCACATGTACCAAAGAATATTTCTGGATCCGCCACTGCCTTAGAGGTGATATCTTTTCTCGCACATGTAAAATATTCGTAGACAAATGTGTCAAATATTTGTCTTTCTGTTCTCTTGTCTTTTGTTTAACGTGCTAAAGAAAAATTCTTTTTCACGTCAAATGTGTAGCAATGTCCACACAATATATGTTGCGTGAAGAAAGATATCCTTATTTGCTAGATGCCTAGTACAGAAAATATTATTTTTAATGTAAACTCAAACAAATCTAAATAACAGACTGTTATTGCTGACTTTCGTTATGTGTATTAGCACAGCCGTTACCAAATCACAATTCATTAACTCATGAATTTTTTAACTTGTAATCTGCCGGAAATATTTAATGAGTGCGTCGATACGAAGGTCGACCAAGGTGAGACTTGAACTATAGAAACGAAGTTCATTGATGCACGATTCTCTGAGTAAACTGTTGTGGAATAAGGCATTTCTGTGAGTTATGTTTGTGGCTAGTTATACTTTGAATGTGGACTAAGAAAGAAGGATTTTCATCTTACTGAATCAAAAGTAGTGCACTACTTCAGTAGTCATTCTACCCAAATGAAAACAAGGTGTGTTCGAAACGGTCAATTTTACGCACATACGTACACACACAAACTGCTCTTTGATTTCGTTCGTTCTCCTATTCATATTACATCGTGTTCCCTAAAAGATTTCCAATGGACTTATTAAAAATTTGCGTAGTCGCATATATATTATGAGGCATATACCTTCCAGATAACTTAGAGAAAGAGTTTATTCTAGGGATGTTACGAATCCGAACCTACGTTCGAAGTTCGGCTTCGAACAGTTCGAGTTCAAAGACGTTCGATGTCGAAGTGTTCAACTTTCGAACTCGACCTTAAGTTCGGGTTCGGAAGTTCGAGTTCGACTTTAAAGTAACGTTAACGTAGATTTAGCAGCAAGGTTGGCTAGACACAGCTCGTAGAACCTGCCTGGAGCTTTTTTGATACTGCAAGCTTTGAGTGGATATAATTTCTCACCTTCTGCCCCTAGTTTAATGGTGCTTAATGAATTAGTGTTGCCTCTAGGAATCAGTGTCTCACACAGGCTGCAACCTGCAACAGTGGGTCATTTTCAAAACAATCTGGATTAGTCTATATGATCATAATACTTAACCTTTTAAGGTATTCTGCATCTTTAGTCTATCACATATAACAGTCTTATATCAAACATTTATTTCTCATAGAGCAGACGTCCAGTTTAGACATGGTCGGGACCGGGACCAAAAAAGTTTTTTACTGGGACTGGAACTACAACTTTTTTATCCGGGACCAACACTAGAACTAAGATGTGTTTCGACAGTTGCATAAAATTAGCTAAAACTTGACCTGTTCTCTATACTAAAATAGAAACGTTGCGGAACATCGTCTGGAAGTCTTATAATTCTTTCCTAGGCATTGAACTTCACATCTACATCATGCAAACTTAAAAATAAAGTATTTTCTCCGGCATCATAAAAAGTTTCCGGGGACGGGACGGGACTGGAAAACCTTGGTCCTGCCCGTGTCTAGTCCAGTGTGAGAATTTTTTTCTTCGTTCTTTTAAACACAAATGTACTGTCCTTTTTAACAATTGTGGCACATCTTTTGTGTACACGTGTTCTGAACATATACATATCAGAACAAAAGAAATCTGTGTTATTCACGCTTTTGTTTGTAGCAAAAACTGTTTTTCGAGTAAAAGTGCAAATGTGAAAGGAAAATATTAATATGTGCAAAACTCGTATTTAGGAGAGTATATAATAATTGTCTGATTATCTACTTTACTTTGTTAAATATTTGATGTCGTACTCGAACTCGAAGGTTCGAACATGTTCGAAGTCGAAAATCTTGTGACAAGATTTTGTCTCAGGATCGTGTAAATTCTTGTCATAAGATCTTTCAAGATCAGCTCATAAGACGTGACGAGATCTTGTAACAACAAAGCGTATGATCTTGCAAGATCTTGTAAAATCTTGTCATTGAGATCGTGATTTATATTTATTTCTTATGACAAGAGCATGTTATAAGAGGTATACCGAAAAAAGTTAAAAAGAAGATCAGTTGTATATTTTCAAATTGCGACATCAGTTGCATCATTCAGAATGAGATAAACGGGATAGAAAATATTTAGTTATTTTAAAATAAAGGAAAAATATTTAAATAAAGAAAAAATATTGAATGAACTAATATTTAAATAAGACGGAAAAATGTTTAACTGATTTTTAATATTAGTCGTTTAATATTATTTCTTTTTAACATTAGTCTATAGACTCGTTATAAGATCTTGCAAGAAGCAAAACTTAGAATTTTTTTCTTTCTTCAATCTCATACATCAATAGAACGCAAATAAAGTGCATGGCTATAAGCAGGACCGTAATTGCGCGGGTGTGTGTATGAGGGGGCGTCCACCCCCAACAATGAAAATATGTCCTTTCCTTCCAGCGAAAATGAAATTTTTTTTTCGCTATTTATAGTTGCACAGGGACATTTTTTTTTCTTGCACAATACAAGATCTCACGGAATGAAATAAGACGGATTGAAATAAGAGTGTTTAAGACCCTACACGATCCTGAAGATCTTATTCCAAGATTTGTCGACCTTGGTTAGAGTATTTCTGCATTTTTATTGCGAAAAAATACACAATATTCAGTTTGATTATGTGATATCTATTATTGAATATGTTGGACAATAAACAACAATATTAAAATTTCTGTTATATTTTTTAAGAAACTTGTACTTTGTCACCACTACACCTACAGACACATTCACGATTTATTTCTCATCAGAATTGCTGATGTAGATATCATCAGTGCATGCTCATATAGGGTACAAAAAAATATAGATTAAATATCGTGTATATACCTTTATCGTGTATATACCTTTATCTTAAATATAAATACTAATATCAATTTCTCATACTAAACGTGAAGAATAGAGAAATTTTTTTATCATTTGTATTTTTTTTTATGTCTGTTTGTCAAAAATAATTGTTTCATACGTTCTTTGTCAACATTATTTACCCTCACTCAGCACCAATCTACTGTGTCAGAAAAAGTTCATTATACTTGATTATATGTAGTCGATTTATTTTTGTGCAACTATTTTAGATATATATAACATAGACTAAAATTACCTTTAATTAGTTAAACGCAATAAGAAAGGTACAATGAGTAATCAAAAAGGAAAGAGGATAATTTCATTTCAACTAAACCTCATTTCCGATAATGTCAATTAATAATATAGTATGTATTATCTTTTAAAAGAAAAAGCGTTGTTTAATACGCAGAAAACATCCAAAATCGGGAGTATTTTTAACCAGATTTAACATGTATTTGTGTTTTTAGGTGTTTTCTCTTTGAAATACTGGTAAGATCTAAGATAAGTTTAGAAGATGCTATGTCTATTTGTGAAATTTCAATCTAAAACAAGATTGTAATTTTTCATAAATTATTTAGTAATTATAATCAGCAAATTATTAAAATAAACGAAACAATAAACACAAAAAAGCATTATTAACTACCGTAAAATGGTGAAATTAACATTAATAGACCGTCATCTCTAAGTACAGTTTGAATAAAGTCTTCTTTTTTAATAATACCATTTTCACCACCTGTAAATTGATTTAAAAACTGACTAATAATGGCCTTTGAACCTTCATCTTTCTCGTCAGCTCCAAGTATTCGTAGAATAGCCTAAAGAAAACGAATTTAAAAATCGCTTTTGTGTACACCGAATATGATTATAGGATGTAAATTAAGGAGCTAAAAAAGGATTGTTTTTTCGAATATTTCGCGTACAGCATAGTGTTACGTGTTACTATAGAGATATATTCACTAAAAACTAACTTACGTCTGCCATTTTATGTATTTCGTCACCACTTATTTCACCTTTAAATAATAAATAAAATTTGAAAAATTCTTTCTTTTCTCGATAGTTTAATTGACATACCATCAGCATTGCTGTCATAGAGTCGAAATGTGTAATCGATTTTTGAACGAAGATTTCCCTTTGTTGTCAAAATAAATCCTCGCATGAATTCATTTATATCTGACAATAAAAATTTATTCTATTTTATTTTGTAATTATAAAATAAATGAAATGATTATTACCGACTGTGCCGCTATGATCTTCATCAAAGACATTTGTTAATGTCCCGATACAATTTTCTATTCGAGTTGAATCTAAATCACTTAGATCTTTATAAATACTGACCATTTGATCTTTGGATAATTTGCCTTTTTTAGATCGAGACTATAAAAAATAAGCGACGCCATTTAAAATAAATTTGACATTATTCGACCATTACTCACTAATATTTCTTTATACCACACTTCCAAATCGTGCGACGACATCCCTAAAATTAAGACTCATTTTTTTTTCTATCAATGTGCTATTTGTTTATAATTTTTTTCTTGTTATTTTCAGTTGAAAAAGATTTACCTGTTTTTTGCATTAATTGTTCTTTTGTTTCGTCTATTAATGAATCATAAGTTCCACTTGTGTTTCCCATTATCTTTCTTTTAATAAGCAATTTTTACTTAATGAAATCGCGTTAGTCTTGTGTTATTACTTAAAGCCTTAAATTACTTTTTCAAAATTAAAATTGGTTTATTTATTATGTGTATGCGTCTCTCCTACGAAGAACAAAAAAGGAAAATCTTGAATTTTTTTCTCGTTCTCGAAGTATTTTTTCTCGTAGATTTTGTTTACGACTCAAAAACGATAGAAATGGCAAAAAAGAATAAGAATGTAATAAGAGAAAAATATATGCAGCTTTTTTTCGTACATATTCTCGTCCTTAGTGAGAAAAGCAAAGAATGAATCATAAACGAGCTTGGTGTACAGATTTTATTTCATTGATGGTTTTTTGTTGTTGTTGATCAAGAAAGAAATGAACCCATCATGAAAGTGTTGAGTAATAAGAGAAAAGAAAGAAGCACATTGCTGTCTTACAGCAAAAATATTTTTATAAACCTTCACATGGTGTACTAAAATATTTCGGCGGTTAAATATTTTAATATTTCAGATATATTATACACAACTGTTGACTTGGTTTTGTCTATTTTTCTACCACATTTCATAACATTGGTTCTGACCAATATGATCATAAAAGATCTTGTCACCATGTGCTTGCTCCGTCAACGTATTGGTAAATTTCGTGTTATGCTATCAGGATTCTCTGTCTTATCACTAGTATTGCCTCTAATAAACTAAGAGAGTGTCTTTATTGAACATCTTCTGTGAAAAACTGAGAACATGCCTTTTTTCTTATGCTGTATAATTTGTAACAGTAATATACATGATAATCAGTTCACTTTTTCGAGTGAAGAGAAGAAGAAAACGACATAATAAAGATAATATTTGAGTTTAATAGGAGTCAACGGGATACTATCAACATAAATTCGTGACAGAACTGCACGGATACCTTTTTAAAAACTTCTGAAGAAAGATAATCTTATGGTATGTTAGACATACAGCATCTTTATCATTCAAAAAACTCGAAAACACTGCTCCACAGTCATTATTGAAGACAGATCCTCAGGTCAGAGAATCCTATAATAAAATCATATGGGGTCTTGTAAAATCCTATCGGATTCTAAAATAAGATCTTATATGATCCTATGAAATCATATAGGATCTTGCAGGAAACACGTCTGCCATCTTAAAGCAAGAAATAACATAGGACTCCTATTATAGGATCCTATGAGATCCTACAGTAGGAACCTGGTAGGATTGTTTGACCTCGGTCAGACAAAAAGGCGTTTGATGTAATAATAACCTAGGGAACCTTTTCTAGGGAACCTCTTTCTAGGAAACCTTTCTAGAAAGCAAAGTATTTTCTGTTGGTTTTTTCAATGTTTATTGAGTTTTACCGAGAATTTATTGAACTGCAGACAAAATAGAGTGTTTCCTGACATTCGGAAGTAGATTGGATGGATTTTGACTGAATTATGAATTTTTTAATTTTTGATAAAAATAATCGAAAATGGGGTATTTCACCTAGTATAAGTTTTTACTCGGTTGTTGCATTTTGTTCTAAAAACTAACATTGCCACGAGATTCAGCATAGTCGATAACCTATGTTTTCATTCGTTTCTGACAGTCCCAAACCTAACGGCACAGGAGTGCTAAGGCTTCAGGGAAAACATCCATGGCTCCGAACCATGGATTTCTAAGATGTCACTTAGATCTAGTTTTGTAGAGGACACTTTGGACTATATATCCACTTAACACAATTCATAGATTTCTATGTCAGCTTTCAGAGAACTGAACTGGTTTTCCACAGATCTCCTGAAAAACCGGTCTTTGAAACTCTTTTCAAATTCGTTTTTGGTTATGAAAACATAGCTTCAGGCCTTGGCTAGTGAATGATGAGAACCGCAAATCTCTATCTTTCATTCCTTTTGAGTTATTCAAAAAATAGCCACCGGCCTTGTATTTTGGAACGGGTAGCAGTCTATAGCAAAAGTTATTTTTTAATACAGGTGTTTTTTTGTAGCACAAATTGCTGAAACAGCTGACTGAATGACACATTATTCGATTCAGTTTCTGACGCTAATCACGAATATGGGCTTGGTTTCGCTTTAAAATACTTTCTTCAAGCCAAAAAATGCAAAATACTGTTCTAAAAATTTAATGATTTCTACGTGATACCTACTGTCGAGAGCACTAAGGGCTTTCAGTGAGCTTAACTTTGCCCACCGAAATTTTTTCATCTATTGATAGATCAAGGTTGGAACTACTTATGCACCAGATATTTCCAAAATTTGTCTTATGCCATGGGAGAAAATCGATTTTGAAAACTGACATTTTCAGCCAAAGTCGCTACTTTCGATGCAGTTTTTATTTGAGCAAAAGCGAATTAGAAGCTCACACGTTCAGGTGTTGTAGTATTTGAGGTCCTCTATCTAATGGTGTTTTCAAAAGTTTCTGAAAATGTTTCGTTTCGATACAGTATGGCGACAAAATATGAGTTTAGTACGTACCGGATACAGGTCACTGTATGAGAACGAAATCATTCCCAGAAATTGGGTTTGTTGTAAATCGAAGAAAAATGTTAGCTCTATTTATGTAAAAAATTTGAGCTCTTTACCTTATATGATTGCCGAGATATGAGCAACATAAAGTTGTCAATATGAGAGATGTCGCATTTTTCAAAAATTTAAAATGCTCGTTTCTCAGCAATCCAGCAATATTTTTTCAAACGGAAAGCGCTATTTTACTCAGAAAATGTCTATATTTTCTTTTATGACTGATTCGAATGAGTTCTGTGAGATACGATTGAGCAGTGTCGGTCGTGACGCGATCGGATGAAATTTAAGGAGGTCGTAATGTGGGACATTGAAAAACTCGTGAATAGTAAAAGTTAAAAACTTGAAAGAACTAGAGGGCAGTCAGGCCAACGAGAGTTGCAAATGCAGTGTGAAGTTAATAACATACAGCAGCCGTACGATATTGATGAAGAAAGTGTAAATTGCTTTCATAATTATGATTCAAATAATGATTTATCAGTCTGAAACAGAGACCATCACGGTCCAAATTTTTTCGCCCTGCCCTGTCCTGTCAGAAAATTACTCATAAAAAACTTTTGGCTTTATAGCTTATTTATTAATTCAGACACACAGTTCCCTATCTACGTTTAAAATTTTACTGTACGCCTTCTAGTTTCTGAGAAAATCGTTACAGAAAATGCCACTTTTCTAGAAAGGAAAAGCTCAGTTTATTACTATAATGCGGTATTGCTTCGCACCCTTTATCATAGTCTAGAGATTTTATCGTATATACTGCGTTAATTATCTTTAAAACAGTGATGCATTTAGAGGCTAGGTATTGCGTTAATTATTCGCTGAATATATATAAAAACATTGTCATGAAATGAATCACATAGTATGGGAACGTACTCTCTTATAAATGCACCTGGAACCGCTTTTATAAAAAAACTTAAGTGTGACTTAAGTGTAAAACTGACTTAAGTCAGACTTAAGTCGAAAAAGATAAAAAGTCATGTTTTATAAAAAAACTTAAGTGGGATTTTTGACTTAAGTTATACTTAGTTTCTTGATTAACTTTAAGTCAATAAATTTGACTTAATTCTGTAGAAACGTTGGATCATTTCTAAAACTATTCAAAGTAAAAATAATTAAAAATGGCAATTGTAGCCCTTTTAGCGGTAAGAACATTGAAAAGGGAACGAATATTTAAAGATAGACAAAATCCTGGACAAAATAGACCTTTGGAAACTATGACAGATGCAGATATGGGTGGGACCAAGGCTTTTCAGTCTCGGATTTTCAGCCCCGTAAAGTTGTTTCGATTCTGGTCGCGATAAAAAGACCTTTTTGATCCCGGTCCAGTCTAGGTTTCTGACAAGGAGAAAAAAAGGCAGTTGACTTCATCTTTGTTTACGCGCAGAAAACAGCAGTTGAGTATGACTATCTCTATTTAACGGCTATAAAAAGTAATTTTGCTGCTCGTCTATACAAACACCGCCCTTTCGCTTAAACTTAGAAGACTTTTGCAACTACAGTCGGACTAGTTCTAACACACCCTTGTTGTAACAGTCCTCTTAGCTTTGTTGTAATAGTTAATTGACGAAAGATGAAAGCATCGTTCTAAACTGCACTGTAAAACATCATTTTTGACTTTGGCGGTTAATGAAATACAATTTTTTTTGTAAAGAAACCAGAGGACTAACAGAAGAAGCTCTGCTTTACAGCGCTGTCTTATGTTTCTGTGAAATGTTTAAGTTCATCCACGGTATATAAAAGGTGTTTCACAAGTTCTGAAACGATTTCTAGAACAATGAATTTACAAATCGTTTCAGAAAAAGAAATTCCTTGCTATACCAAATGATAGACAATTTAATTCTCTACAAGATCGTATATTGATTTTTAAGATTCATCTTTGATGTTTGGCACAGTAAATTCTAACAGGAAAAGCGCCAAACTTCTTAACTGCACCTTAAAAAAAATCGATTTTTTTGCGCAGAACCTCGCTAAAAATCACTTATCAACAACACAAGGTATATCGAAAAATTCAGCAAGAAATTTTCTACAATATGATGCTTTTTTTTAATGAGAAACAAAGATTTTTTTAGATGAAATCAGAGCGAACAAGAGTCTTTAAGAAAGATCATTTTCTCCTATTCTTCGTCCATCTTAGCAACAACCAGTATTTCCTAATTTTTCAGGTAAAAAAAGTGGCAGATTTATTTGTAGGTTATACAATCTAATAGAGCGCAAAATTCTGCATTTTTTGGTCTGTAAACTAATGATTTGAACTTTGAATTTTATACTGGATTAGTCAAAACCTTTCCTTATTGCTAGAAACTTCAGTGGACTTGAAAGTTTATGTATTAAAACCACTAACAATTAAAATAAATTTCCTTCAAGTAAACGCTTTTCTAAAGCATGAAATTCTTCACTATTGGACTGTAATAAAATTATTTCAAATCTTTTTATAGTCATTATAAGCAATTAAAAAAGGAGAACAGTTTGCGCTTTAAAACTA